GTAAACACCGCACATTAGCATATATATGAACGATAACAATACCGAGTAACATCCTTCTTGGGAGGAAAAGATCCATCAATACCGAGCTTTGGTCGTGTCTAAAAAAAAAAGGTTCGTACCTTTCTCTAAAAAATAACAAATCTAATAAGAAAACCAAATTCATACATTGAGAAGATTGAACAATGCTAGTGCGCTTATGGGAAAAGTTAAGAGCATACCAGCTACCTTGACTCGCTTTTTGGGTTCCTAAGAATCAGAAGAGTAAACAGAAAAGGATCAAACAAGCAGTGATAAGCATCCAAAACACGACTCACATATCATAGCTAGAAGAAGAGATACTAATTGGGTGCAATCACAAGACACAAAGGGTTAATGTAGAATAGAAAATTATCAGATCACCTACATTGTGTCTCTCAAAAAGAGAGATTATTATTAGTTTACAGGAAGGATAATGAAACTCAGGAAGACAAAAATGATGAAGCAAAGTTTGCTCACCTTTCTTCTCCTATTCCCCATTTGACTCTGAATCGAACTAATATAAGAGGAGAACAATCCCAAACATGATACCATTTTAGCTCCTTTCCATGTGGTTAAACTCTGCAAACTCGAGAACCCCTCAAAATCCATACACTGATTTTATATTTGTCCGAAAAACGCAGGAAACAAATATAAACCATGGTTGAGGAAACTCAGCGTATGGATTTTGAAAGCTTTCTCTCTATAAAGACAGAAGACTCGAGACATAATGGGTACCTATCATGGAAAGCAAGGCTAATGTATATGATGTTGACGATGTCTTGCCCAAAATTCTAGATGAAATCAGATTAAACCTTAAAAAGTGGACGACTTTGAGACTGATTTCGTTTCTAAACATACAAACAAAATGAGCATCTAAGTAGGTAGGAGGAAACGCAACCAAGGCAAACACCGTCAATAACCGTCAGCGAGAACCACCTTCATCAACAAGCAGCGAAATTAGTGAAGCTTATTATATTATATATAAATTCAGAACTCTGATGTTATATGAGATTTAAAATAAAATATGTTAATATCAACTGTTTAAAATGATACATAAATTAAGTATTTGATTTAACATAGGAATATGTTATTACATACATGACCATGCAGTAAAATGGAAAAGCTCATATATATATTCATAGTTACACATATATCATGTGAAATTATTAGGTAATACTTGTTTTTACAAAGTCTGTTTGACATTTTTATCATATAGGGAACATTGTATATATAGTTGCACATATCCATTTAAGCGGAATATGAGAACCTGATAAAATTAATTTTTACACATGTAACATCTGCAAAGTCTTTTTGCCCCTACAGTGTCACATTTTCCGCGGGCATACCCATCTTTATCCCGGCAAGTGTCATAGCATACTTCGTCTTCGGTATGGTGAACACAATGTTTCCCATCTGTATCACATACTCTCTCACCTTTATTCCTAGTACAAGTCCCATGCGGTACCCATTTGCTTGGTTTTGGTGCACAGAAGTCTGACAGACATCTTCCTGTTATTCCTAATGGGTTTAACGCATTAGTGATCGATATACAAGAACATGGCCAACTCTAATTTGTATAAAAAAATTTAGGAGTAATGCAAAAAAAATATGTGCCGATTTGACCAACTAGGTTTAATAGTTTGAGTTTGATTCTAAGAGAAACATAAT